GTCTTTGTTTTACTTTTATTTTTCTGTCTTCTTTTTTTTTTGTTTTTGTTTTTGCTTACTTTGATAACAAAAGTTTAACAATTGTTTCTTTTTTTGTAGTAGACCGCTGATGAAGTGTTAATTTTTTTAGGCTAACTTCTGCCATCTGTGATGAATATGACAAGTGAATTTATTTTGTTAGTTAAGATGTAAGAAAGAAGAATGTCAAGTAACCGGTAAAGCGACAATTGTGAAAATGATCTATTGGTACACAGAAACCATGAGACAGTAACACAGTTTACTGCTATTGTCAGCATTGTTGAGAATGATTTTGGTTAGAAGAACAGCAAAACCAATTAAGATTAACAAAATTTCAATGGACAGTCAACAGTGTTTGTCCTGTCATCTGATATTTTGTTGTCAGCTCTTTAATCTTATCTTCTTCAGCGGTATCAATGATCAAAAAAAACTTTTTTTTGAGCTTAAATGACTACTGCAATGATTCATTGAGAAAATAATTAAACATCCGTATCTTCTGTAATCATTGCCGCTTAACCAAAAATTAACTCGTGAGCCTTAATATTTTAACCCATAACCGCAGGTTTAAGCGATAAACTTTTGATTAATTGTTCACCATTTCTTCTATTGACTTACTACTTCTATACTGTGTAAACACTAACGGAACCTTCGAAATTATATTTTGAATTTTCTTTTTTCTGCTGATTTAAAGAAATTGACTTCTTGTGCAAGAAAAAAAAAAGCACTGAAACGTTGGCTACGAACAGGGGAAAAAGGGATAAAAGAGAAAAACTAAGCGGCAATAAAGTGATTGAATCAGTAAACAGATATGTCAAAATTTTTATTTTTTATTTTTCTTTTTTTGTTTTTCATTCTTATTTTTTGATTAAGGGAGATGTCTTCATTTCTTTCTTTCTTCTTTCTGCCCACTGAATTTATATTAATAGTTTTTACCAAAATTTTACTTTCTTGATGCTAGAAAGGAAGTTTTTGTTACAGTTATTTTC